TTTCTTAAGATTTAGTGGAAGAATAGTGTCATTCCGTCACTGATATCTTAAATGCACCTTAAACTGTTTTAAGTTCAAACATACGCACGCAGCTTATGTAGGTGAATTACAAAAAGATGTGCGTTGACTTCAGTAATTTCAACGAAATAGGTTCCATCACAAGACATTTACCGAAGCACTTATTTTCCCAAAACGTTGGACAATGTAAATTTAGCATAGGGTCTAGAGTCATACCTCTGCACACTTCGCAAGTTCTAGTTACTTTATTTATCTACACACTTGTATGACCTGTGAATCTGATCACTTGGCTTTCGGCACCTAAGCATTCTTGACTAATGTTTTCTCTGCACAACTTTTCGGTCAGAGGTTAGAAAGGTGCACAGTGACTAATCGGACTACACAGAAGAGGCTTTGTTAAGAAGGCTATTCAGAACATCAAGAGGGTAACCATTCGATGACACAAAAAAATACTTACAGAAGATAATTATTTTTTACTATCCCAACATGTATGGTCAAGTTACGTTATAAGATCAACAAAACATTAAAGACGAACTTACCCTCCCCATGCAGCAAAAAGAATGAGTTGAGATCGGCATCCAGCTGTTGGAGAAGCCTGATTAGCAAGAGTTATGTAAAGAGTCATTCATCGCATCTCACTAACTATTAGTAATAACATTTCTGTGCCAAAGCAATAGCTTTCTTCAACATCGTAGAAGAATCGATCTAATCTTTGTCAGCCGGTCAGGTTAGGATAACATTTTTTGAAGTGCCGTAATGTTTAAAAATGTTGCTGGTAAATATAGTAGGTTATCTGACAGGAACTGTGCATGCCTATAACATGCCTTCCTTGAACCTGAAACTGAAGTATACTGAGCTGGTACACTGCTATAGTTTGTGATATTCTGAGGTTTTTCTGTTGGTTTGTTATTGAGACGTAATTGAAACAACGGAAATATTAGAAAAAATTCGTCCATCATTCATGTCGATGAAGAAGAGCATTAATCAAAATTTCTTAAGATTTAGTGGAAGAATAGTGTCATTCCGTCACTGATATCTTAAATGCACCTTAAACTGTTTTAAGTTCAAACATACGCACGCAGCTTATGTAGGTGAATTACAAAAAGATGTGCGTTGACTTCAGTAATTTCAACGAAATAGGTTCCATCACAAGACATTTACCGAAGCACTTATTTTCCCAAAACGTTGGACAATGTAAATTTAGCATAGGGTCTAGAGTCATACCTCTGCACACTTCGCAAGTTCTAGTTACTTTATTTATCTACACACTTGTATGACCTGTGAATCTGATCACTTGGCTTTCGGCACCTAAGCATTCTTGACTAATGTTTTCTCTGCACAACTTTTCGGTCAGAGGTTAGAAAGGTGCACAGTGACTAATCGGACTACACAGAAGAGGCTTTGTTAAGAAGGCTATTCAGAACATCAAGAGGGTAACCATTCGATGACACAAAAAAATACTTACAGAAGATAATTATTTTTTACTATCCCAACATGTATGGTCAAGTTACGTTATAAGATCAACAAAACATTAAAGACGAACTTACCCTCCCCATGCAGCAAAAAGAATGAGTTGAGATCGGCATCCAGCTGTTGGAGAAGCCTGATTAGCAAGAGTTATGTAAAGAGTCATTCATCGCATCTCACTGACTATTAGTAATAACATTTCTGTGCCAAAGCAATAGCTTTCTTCAACATCGTAGAAGAATCGATCTAATCTTTGTCAGCCGGTCAGGTTAGGATAACATTTTTTGAAGTGCCGTAATGTTTAAAAATGTTGCTGGTAAATATAGTAGGTTATCTGACAGGAACTGTGCATGCCTATAACATGCCTTCCTTGAACCTGAAACTGAAGTATACTGAGCTGGTACACTGCTATAGTTTGTGATATTCTGAGGTTTTTCTGTTGGTTTGTTATTGAGACGTAATTGAAACAACGGAAATATTAGAAAAAATTCGTCCATCATTCATGTCGATGAAGAAGAGCATTAATCAAAATTTCTTAAGATTTAGTGGAAGAATAGTGTCATTCCGTCACTGATATCTTAAATGCACCTTAAACTGTTTTAAGTTCAAACATACGCACGCAGCTTATGTAGGTGAATTACAAAAAGATGTGCGTTGACTTCAGTAATTTCAACGAAATAGGTTCCATCACAAGACATTTACCGAAGCACTTATTTTCCCAAAACGTTGGACAATGTAAATTTAGCATAGGGTCTAGAGTCATACCTCTGCACACTTCGCAAGTTCTAGTTACTTTATTTATCTACACACTTGTATGACCTGTGAATCTGATCACTTGGCTTTCGGCACCTAAGCATTCTTGACTAATGTTTTCTCTGCACAACTTTTCGGTCAGAGGTTAGAAAGGTGCACAGTGACTAATCGGACTACACAGAAGAGGCTTTGTTAAGAAGGCTATTCAGAACATCAAGAGGGTAACCATTCGATGACACAAAAAAATACTTACAGAAGATAATTATTTTTTACTATCCCAACATGTATGGTCAAGTTACGTTATAAGATCAACAAAACATTAAAGACGAACTTACCCTCCCCATGCAGCAAAAAGAATGAGTTGAGATCGGCATCCAGCTGTTGGAGAAGCCTGATTAGCAAGAGTTATGTAAAGAGTCATTCATCGCATCTCACTAACTATTAGTAATAACATTTCTGTGCCAAAGCAATAGCTTTCTTCAACATCGTAGAAGAATCGATCTAATCTTTGTCAGCCGGTCAGGTTAGGATAACATTTTTTGAAGTGCCGTAATGTTTAAAAATGTTGCTGGTAAATATAGTAGGTTATCTGACAGGAACTGTGCATGCCTATAACATGCCTTCCTTGAACCTGAAACTGAAGTATACTGAGCTGGTACACTGCTATAGTTTGTGATATTCTGAGGTTTTTCTGTTGGTTTGTTATTGAGACGTAATTGAAACAACGGAAATATTAGAAAAAATTCGTCCATCATTCATGTCGATGAAGAAGAGCATTAATCAAAATTTCTTAAGATTTAGTGGAAGAATAGTGTCATTCCGTCACTGATATCTTAAATGCACCTTAAACTGTTTTAAGTTCAAACATACGCACGCAGCTTATGTAGGTGAATTACAAAAAGATGTGCGTTGACTTCAGTAATTTCAACGAAATAGGTTCCATCACAAGACATTTACCGAAGCACTTATTTTCCCAAAACGTTGGACAATGTAAATTTAGCATAGGGTCTAGAGTCATACCTCTGCACACTTCGCAAGTTCTAGTTACTTTATTTATCTACACACTTGTATGACCTGTGAATCTGATCACTTGGCTTTCGGCACCTAAGCATTCTTGACTAATGTTTTCTCTGCACAACTTTTCGGTCAGAGGTTAGAAAGGTGCACAGTGACTAATCGGACTACACAGAAGAGGCTTTGTTAAGAAGGCTATTCAGAACATCAAGAGGGTAACCATTCGATGACACAAAAAAATACTTACAGAAGATAATTATTTTTTACTATCCCAACATGTATGGTCAAGTTACGTTATAAGATCAACAAAACATTAAAGACGAACTTACCCTCCCCATGCAGCAAAAAGAATGAGTTGAGATCGGCATCCAGCTGTTGGAGAAGCCTGATTAGCAAGAGTTATGTAAAGAGTCATTCATCGCATCTCACTAACTATTAGTAATAACATTTCTGTGCCAAAGCAATAGCTTTCTTCAACATCGTAGAAGAATCGATCTAATCTTTGTCAGCCGGTCAGGTTAGGATAACATTTTTTGAAGTGCCGTAATGTTTAAAAATGTTGCTGGTAAATATAGTAGGTTATCTGACAGGAACTGTGCATGCCTATAACATGCCTTCCTTGAACCTGAAACTGAAGTATACTGAGCTGGTACACTGCTATAGTTTGTGATATTCTGAGGTTTTTCTGTTGGTTTGTTATTGAGACGTAATTGAAACAACGGAAATATTAGAAAAAATTCGTCCATCATTCATGTCGATGAAGAAGAGCATTAATCAAAATTTCTTAAGATTTAGTGGAAGAATAGTGTCATTCCGTCACTGATATCTTAAATGCACCTTAAACTGTTTTAAGTTCAAACATACGCACGCAGCTTATGTAGGTGAATTACAAAAAGATGTGCGTTGACTTCAGTAATTTCAACGAAATAGGTTCCATCACAAGACATTTACCGAAGCACTTATTTTCCCAAAACGTTGGACAATGTAAATTTAGCATAGGGTCTAGAGTCATACCTCTGCACACTTCGCAAGTTCTAGTTACTTTATTTATCTACACACTTGTATGACCTGTGAATCTGATCACTTGGCTTTCGGCACCTAAGCATTCTTGACTAATGTTTTCTCTGCACAACTTTTCGGTCAGAGGTTAGAAAGGTGCACAGTGACTAATCGGACTACACAGAAGAGGCTTCGTTAAGAAGGCTATTCAGAACATCAAGAGGGTAACCATTCGATGACACAAAAAAATACTTACAGAAGATAATTATTTTTTACTATCCCAACATGTATGGTCAAGTTACGTTATAAGATCAACAAAACATTAAAGACGAACTTACCCTCCCCATGCAGCAAAAAGAATTAAAAAGGCTCGAAATCAAAAGTTAAAATTGGAGAAGGAATTTTGTCTTGTGAACGACAAGTTTAACTTCCAAGTAGTTCATGGAAGATAGTGCAATAATAAGTGATATTTTAGCTGTCAAACTTGTTGATGAAAAGAGGATCGTTCATGCGCAAAATCTCAATGTAGGGTGGTCAAGTTAGACTTTCTCTCTTCCACTGCCTACACAGAAAACAAGATGACAAAATTTGTAGAATTGATTTGTTTTACCATGTCATTATTATGTACTCTACAAACGCACCGTTTTTCAAATAGTATGTATATGTGAGCCAACGACGATAATCGGAATATATTAAGATCAGTCACTGCTATCCCGTTTTACCTGCAATAGGTGATTTATCGTCCGAATATGCTAGATATACAGCAAAAGCGACCCTATCCCTCCGAATACAATACAGAAGGTAGATCATCCCTTGTTGTACATGCTTGAGTAGGAATGTTTAATATGTTGGAATTGTCACTTATTTCGCTCTGTAACGGTTCTTAACGGGTGGATACAGGGAATAAAAAACTTTTCGTGCTTTGAACTGAAGAAGCTTGATGTATTTTTTTATTAAGTTACATGAGTTTATCGAGGTTGGAGTTTTTGCATCTTTACAAAATCAATACTGTATTTAGCTTTTAGCGAGCTTGAGAAATTGAAGCAGCTTAAGTTAATCACTGTTGATCTCCTGGCTTTTTGATTTTCTGGTTACTGAATTTTTACTTGCTGAAAAATCAATAACAATATTTTTGCTTGATATTGGACATCTTTAGGACGATTACGACTGAAAAGGCTGAAAGTGTTGCATTTTCAGACACTTTATGTGGTTTAACCTTTGAAATCAAATTTAGCCATCATTCAGTCTTCAGTAATAAAGATAAGATGTCTATCGACTTATCTTAATGCTTGAAGTTTGTAAAACTGTGGAGGTCTAGTCTCATCTCGAATAAATCAACAGAAGGTACTGATATTACGTGTTCCGGTAGAGAATTCCAGTAGCTTACTATTCTGCACGAGAAACGAAACTACTGACGTAGATGATTTGATCTCAGTTTTTGAACTTTCGTAGAATGTCCTTTCAAATGATCAGTCTTGGGCAGAATGAAAAGATGAGACATATTAATACCAAGGTCATCGTTCAGTGTACTATTAACCAGTATTAGACTACCTCGTGCTCTACGGTAAGATAGCGGAAATAGGTTGAACTGTTTCAGTCTGCCTTCATAAGATAGACCAGAGCGACCTTTAATTATTTATTAACCACTTATTTAGTTTGTGACCGTATAATGGATTCCAGAACTTTTCAGTTTTAATTTAGAATCAGAACGGGAGACCTTATCAATGGCTTTACTTAGATCTATGAAAATCACATCGATCTTTTGCGGCAGCGCAATCGTCTCTTGCAGTGAGATTTGTTAAACATGATTAGCCTTTATGAAAACCACATTGTTTCCTGGATAAAAGACCATACCCTTTCACATTGTTTATAACAGCCATTTGAATATTTTTTCAATTAATTTGACAACTGCACTGATTATACTAACGGGTCAATAGTTAGTCTAACCCTCTTTAGGTTATAATACATTCATGTTCTTGTTGATTCACACCCAATCTAGTGATACGTTGTGATGAGATACTGCCCTGAGAGACACCTATTTTAGAATCTGGGAGAACGCACAACAATTCAGAGTTATTGATTCAACAAGCACATGACATGCACTCACCTTTTATTAACAAAAGTAACCAATAAAAATTAACATAGGTGTTCAATTAGAACAGTCCAGTAATTGCAACTAGAAATAATCAGTGTAGGGTTCAAAATGCGTTATAGTTGCACTTAGTTGATCAGTTTAAAAAATCGTCATTGGTAATGGAACCAAGTTATTTGGAATTTCTTTAATATAAATGGAGAAACAATGCAACAAATGTTTTAGCTGTTTATCTGAAGCGAATTAACCATTGGGTTATATTTTAATATCTAAAAGTAACCCCAAACAAAAGACTTGAAGAACTAGAGCACGTTGTCTGTCATTTCAAAAAGAAAACCTAGTAAAATGACATAAGAAAAATAGTGGTTTAAAAAATACAAGCTTTTACTACATAGGTTTCGAAATGCATCAGTAATTAACTAAGTGGTAAGAACATATCGTTTAAAGACATGGTGGATATAAGGGAATCAAACATTTCCGATTTCCATGTATCACACACTGATTGCATCAAAAATAAACAAGGAAATAGACAACAGCTGCCAAAAGGATCAGTGTATTCGATTGCAGTTAGAGCTATAAGAGTGATAGGCTTTTAAAATAGTTAGTTAGAGAGGAAACGTTTTTCAGTAGATTGTAAATTTGGACAAGCGGACAAGTCTATATCTGAGTGACTGCGAATATTTCTACAATACAGATTTTGAAATAGTTCTTAATGTGCAACTGGGTTAGTTATGTATCTGTTTAGTATAAATATGAGAACTCTTTGTTCTACGCAGATATGCGCTACATAAATCATTCGATTTGTGTGAGTGCTGGGATACTGTTTGGGAGCCCGTCCTGAAGTAGAAGTCTTTTTTAAGAGGCCACATCTCGAGTCTTTGACCTAAAGGTTTAATTCACAAGGCAGTAGAGCAACGTCAGGAGATGCAGTTCCATGGTAGCTGATGACCAATAATAGGTTCATACGCCATTCGTTTCCTTAGGATCCAGGAGTCCATGTGCACCATTGGTTTAGAATCAGGGTTTTTTAACTCCTATGTCCACCAACCCGGCTAAAGCTCCAGGAATTCGCTTTTCTTCCTCACGGTTTCGTAAACAACACCGCTGCCTAGAGAAGGTAGTGATTAGGATTTTCCTGGTAGTGGTTGTATGCACGTGATCATGTGAGAGGATCTCAAAAGGAAGAGCTAACTGTTCTCACTCTCTGCCATACAAGGGCATTTGGGGGCTTAGGTATACTCACTTGAATATATCCACACTTTGTTTGATTTATTTAATAAACTTACTATCAAATAGCGGAATGTTGTTTTTATGGATTACATATTTGATTATTGCATTTTTAGTTGATTATTTTTTATTTAAAAGTCTGTGAACTTTATTTTAATACATTTTGCTAACTGTGACACCTTTTTAAATTACTTTTTCCGCACTAAGAAAATAAAACTAAAAAACTTGACTTAACCAAACAAACCCAAGTTATACAAGCAAACTAATGTGCAGTTCAAGAGTATATGTACGATCTAACCGTAAATTATATTTATTCATCATCTATAACAAGTGGATAGAACCAAAGGGGGATATACCGAGTTTGTATGTTTTTTATAAGGTTGACATCCATGTATAAAAATGATAGCTGTACGGACATATTTAAGCTAGTCAATAATGATATGACTGACCATCCGTGATAAAAAGCCATCATGGAGTATTATATGGTCATCCACTTAGACCATAGACATTTCGATTTTTATGTATAGTTGAAAGTAATTAATAGACGTGCTGTCTTATACAAATCAATCTTCATCTTCCTAAGGTTACCCTAATAAGTAGATTTATGTGAGCTATTATAATAGTTATTGGTTCTTTTTAATATCATTATTAATAAACATTAATTCGACTTGAAACAATTATTTTGCAGATCTATGACTTTTTTTCATAGGATTTTATATTAGTGGTCTACTTCTTTTTCAATTTTATTGTTAGTAAAATTATGTTTCCAAATCTCCTGTTGATACTTTATTTAATACATACAAAACTAAATTTCTGGAGCTAGAGATAGGTATATTAAACTTTTGTTTTATATGACATCAGTAAAAAATTTATTCTTTTTCGTATTTTAACAATTTGGCTGTTTGACAATGCCAGTGATTTGTTTAGGTGGAAGAATGTTTTAGATTTAGTTACATGTGTTAGTATTATAAAGGAAGTCGTGTATTAATGTGTTCCACGGACTCTCAAATAACTTATGTTCTTTACTCATAGTCTTGATGTTAATTTACTTCCAAATGCCCTGGTACGGCCGAGAGTGGGGAGAGTCCGCTCTCCCTCTCGAAATGCTCTCACATGGCCACGCGTATATAGCCTCTGCCAAGGAGGTCCTACTCACTGCCTTCTCGTGGCATTACTGTTGTTTACGAAAATGAGAGGATGAAAAGCGAATTTTCGGCGCTTTAATCGGATCCCAAACCAATGGTGCACATGGGCTCCAGGATCCTGAGGGAACAAATGGCGTATGAACCAATTGTTGGTCACCGGCTACCATGGGACTGCATCTCCTCACGATGCTCCACTGCCTTGTGGGTCAGACGTTCAGGTCAAAGGCTCGGGGTGTGGCCCCCTAAGAAAACCACCTGCTTCGGTTTGGGCACCCGGGCAGTATCACAGCCCCCACACAAATCAATTGAGATTCGTGTGGTGCATATGTATTTGGTGCTTCCTTGTACCAATACCTATGAGTTAAAATAAATAAATAAAAATATTCATAACAGAAAAAAACAAGTAACATTTGAAGAACTAAGTGACTTACACACTGCAGGTAAATTTCTAAATTTAACTTTTTTTTCCCTCACTGACCTAACAATTGCCAAATTTTAAATTTTCAAATGCTTTTCAATCACACATAAATTATTCTCTCAAACTCTAACTTCTTAACCCCATCTAGAAACTCAAACATTATCAAATGAAAGGTATTAGGGATCAATTTACCATCTGTTTCTTAATGTCGCCTATTCAACTTTATAGCTTCTTTATCCGGTTAATGATTTTTTAGAATTATTGTGTAATTCAAGTAAATAAATTCAAGTATATATATATATATATATATATATATATATATATATATATATATATATATATAATTTCAACTTCACTAATTATCCATTTATGCGGTCTTTTGATATTTAATTAACCAGTATATTAAACCTCAAATATGGTGTTACGTAACTGCTTTTTTGTCATAAAGCACAAATGTTATAAAAATAAATTATCAAATATACTTCCTTTTCTAAGATTAAAAGAACATGTACAAAATAGAGATTGTTTTAAGCACTGTGTGTACTTAGTTATTCATTTAGAAAAGATAAATATTTATCAAATAATGAATTATTAAAAGATCAATAAAATGTTAACTTTGGATCATTTAAAAAAAATATATTGGTTCATGAGACTATGTATTGATTGTTTTAATGAAGTTAATGAGCAGAGTAGGTAGTTGTTCATGTTATTATTTTATATACGAGTGTGTGATGGTATATACATATAAGTACATATGTTTAATTCTGTGAACTTTATTGATTACAAATTGTATCCGTCGTTATGTTATCTAATCTAAAAACTAAAACAATAAATTATGTCATACAATGATGTTTTTTTATATATTTCTAACCATAGTTACTAAATTCCTTAAGTAGAAAGGTTAATAAATTCTCTGTAA